AAGTCAAGATAGTCAACCGTGGTCAAATCATAAACCAAACCAGGGTCCATGGCTCTGTTTGGTTGCACATGTCCTGCTCCATAGCTAAACGGTGTTGCTTTTGTGTGTGATGCGTTTGTAATCGGTTCTACCGCATTGTCCCGTGTTCTTGCTACATATCATAAATAAAAGTAAAAAATAAATAAGTTTTATAAAAATGATGAAGAGGGTAATTTGGTAATTTTACCGGAGGTCATGATGGCGGACTTAATGGCGGCTGGGCTCCAATCTGGATGTAGGGTTTTTAGAAGGCCAACGATTCCGGAAACATGAGGGCATGACATGGAAGTTCCTGATACGCAATTGTATTGAACACGACGTGTGTCAAAATCTTGATTTGTGGGCCCTTGTGATTCTGTGTAAGCCGCTATTATACTTACACCGGGTGCAGTTATATCTGGCTGAAAATTAATTAAGAAAGAAAATATCATGATTTATTTAAAAACATGTACACATAATGTAAGGTATTTAGTGGAGATATTTAACTGTGGAATAAATAGCAATGTATTTTCATTTATTTGTTTGTTTCAACATGCTACTTCTATTTCTTTCTTTATAACATTGTACTTTTAGTTTTGTTATTGAGACATTGTACTTTTAACATTTTTATCATGAGTGAATTACATCTTTGGTCCTTGAGTATCTGAATTTTTTCAATTTTGGTCCCACAAAGTTTTCTCTTGCAATTGCAGTCCTCATTGAGGTTTTTGTAACATTTTGGTCCCTATTACAAGTAAAATGATTATATTTTGGGAACCTAATATAACCATTTTACTTGGATCAGGTACTGAAAATTTATATTTACAAGAACCTAAAATAAGGACCAAAATTGCAAAAAAAAAAAAAAAAAAGGTATATGTTAGAGACAAAAAGTGTAATTTACTCTTATTAGAACTTGTACTTTAAAATCTATATCAATTATAGCAAATAAAATTTCTTTGTATTTAGATGAGAATGCTGAAATAGAAGAAATGAAAGTAGGATGCTATAATAAACATATTAAAGAAAGTACATTACTATATCTTGCATTTAAACCTTAATGATATAACCTTAAGAATCTCTAGGGTGATGGTGTTAGGTCCTTTAGATGAGAAAGCTGCCATGAAAGGAGCTGGCTTTGTGTCCAATTTAGTTGATGGATGTGTAATGTAAGCCATTGGATTCCTGTCACAAAAATAAATAAATAAAAAGTTAAATACCAAGTTTTTTTAAAGCTAAAAACCATGTTTTTTATTAAAAAAAAGAATTGCAAAATTTGTGTACATTACTTGGTGGAGTTAAGAAAACTATAAACAGCAAGACCATCAGTGTAAGTAATATGTGTAGCAGGAAAGACATGAGGATCTGCAATGATTTCATTTCCAGAAAGAAGATTATTTGCAAGAACCATTCCAACAGCACCAGCTAAAGCAGCTTCCTGCCCTTTGTCCACCCTGGCATTATCGCCACGTAGACAAACCAAGATTTTCCCTTTTGCTTTTTTTGGATCCAGTGATCCCGCCTTACAAAGCTGCCTGCAAATTTTATTTTATTTTTTTTATATAAAAAATTAACATTTAGCCACTAAAATTATGCATCACAAGTTGCTAACTTGTAATCTTACGCGTCTTTGGCATCTGCTTTGGCTGCTTTGGCATCTAGAGAGCTTATAATTGGAAAGAATTTGTTTTTTGGTAATGATTTAGCAGAAAGACTTTCACCCTGAAAGTAATTTCCCACAAATAATCAACGTATAATACCATGCCATTAATGAAATTATTAGAACCTTTAAAAAGGAAAAAAAAAACATTATACATTATATTTCGGGAATTTCACTTTATTTTTTTCCAATCAAACCATAAAAAGTTCACATTTTCCCATCATTTACCCTGTTTGGTTTCATCGGTTATTTTTGTTATATCAGGTTTTCCTAGCATTTTTCCAAATTAAACCATTTTGACACGTTATATTAGGTTCCAAATTATTGTTAATTTGTCAAAATGGTTAACCCATAATTTTGTTACCTAAGGTTTCAACAATAACTTTCCAAATTAACCATTTTGATGGTTAAATTGAAAAAAAAAAAAGGTACGAAACTTTTATGGTTTGATCGGTTAGACAACAAAATATAATGTTTTTTTTTTCCAAAAAAAAACATAATAACTGACCTTGAAGCTCATGTTATTGCTAAGAACGGCATAACTCGGGAACTGTCGATCCATGGTGCTAGCACCAACCGTAATCTGCCACGTGGCAACATTAGACACCGTACCATCATCGGGTCCCGAATTTCCCGCAGAACAAACAACAACAACCCCATTTTTAACAGCATGAAAAGAGCCAATAGCAACACTATCATTAAAAAAGGGGACAGCATCACCACCAAGAGATACAGACAACACGTCTACACCATCATGAATTGCCATATCAAATGCTGCTAATATATCTGCATCAAAACACTCGTTTCCATTCACGGGTGGAAAGCAAACTTTGTATGCAACAACTCTAGAATTGGGTGATCCGCCTTTGGCTGTTCCATTCCCGTACCCGAATACGCTGGCGTCGGATACAAAGTTGCCTCCCGCAGTTGATAAGGTGTGGGACCCATGCCCTTCATGGTCACGAGGGGAATTGAAGGTGGAATTTAGGGGTCCCACTACTGATGCATAACCTTTGTTGAAGTATCGTGCTCCTATTAGCTTCCTTCATGTAGAAAAAAGGAAACTATGTATGAGTATGAGACATTGTTATAGTGTAACAACTTGAGCTATAAATTACCTTATAATATTTTTTAAATATATTTTAAAACTATAGTTTTTGTTATTTCTCAATTACTCAAGAATATTTCTTGATTATAGTTTTTTTAGTCGATACCTAAAACTTCAAATTATATTCATTTTGACCATTCTATTCGGTCAACAGGTCGTCTAATTTTCAAAAATTTATTACAATTTTTTTTAGTTAATTGATTATAGTTTCTTTTAGTCAATTAGTCAATTAAGTCCTAAAACTGCAAATTATATTTATTTTGACCATTTTATCCAGTCAGAAGGTTATCTAATTTTTAAAAATTAAATTTTTGGTTTAGATTTTAAATTTTATTACAAATTTGGTTCAAAATTTATATTTTTTGGCATAGATTTTAAGTTTTATTATAAATTTGGTCCAAAATTTTACAATTTTGGCCTAAATTTCAAAATTTTGTTATAAATTCATCATATATTTAGTTTTTTTACATCTTTTTTTTTTTTTTTTTTTTTTTTTTTTTTTTTTTAAATTTTGTTTTGAATATGTTTATTTTTTGCTTTATAAAATCATATTTATACAAAAAAACACATTTTCACATAAAAAAACCTTCTGTTTTCTATATAAGTTTACAAAAAAAAAAAAAAACATTTTTATGCGAAATATGTATTTATAAAATTAGGTATTTATTAAGTGCATATATATATATATATATATATATATATATATATATATATATATATATATATATATATATATATATATATATATATATATATATATATATATATTGGCATACAAACCTATTTTAATTTTTATATAACTGTCTATCTTTGTAAAAATTTATAACATGGTGGATAGATGTTCGTTTAAATATCGATATACATATAGTACAATATTTCAAACGACATGAAGTATGTGTATATTTAATGTATTAAACAATACATCTTCATACGATTAAACTTTCAATATATAAATAACAAACTTTCTTTATTTATCAATATAAATTTCATTTAGTTTTTTTTAATTGTACATTAAAAGCACATGTTTGAACTTTGAACTCATTACACTCCATCAAGCTTACCGAATATGATAGCGGAATGTAACGATCCATTACCTTACTCAATCCATTACACTGTTCATTCATTCTATTCCTATGTGATTCCATTCCATCATACCCAAGACTCCCTTATAGAAAAAATTAAGGCATAAACCATGGGCATAAGAACCTGACCTATTACAACGGAAGGTAGCATCTGCACCATTTATACATGCTCCTTTCCACTTCAATGGAATTGGTCCCATTCCTTCATCTCTAAAGCTCTTTGACTCTGGCCAAACACCTGACAAGATTTAGCAAACAAAGTAAAGGTGGAGATAGTTTACTACAACAAAAATACAATATAACGTGCATTATGAATAAGTATAAATGGTTAAAATAATAGCAAATAACAAGTGCTACTTATGAATAATTCAAAAAACATAATAACAAAAATGGCTTTTAAAACCGAAACCAATTTTGATGCCAGTGCACAAACCATGTGCACACATGATAGTGGCCAACAGATAAGACATTTGCAGTAAAAAAGAGCAACAGCTTAGAGATTCTAGATCAAAGAAGTTTTGTATTATTGCTTAGTGATCCCCACAACATAATCAATTGCAAATTGCAAATGTTACATATAACGAATAAGGTGCATATAATATTTCAGAAGTTAAGTTATTGGGATGCTAATCCACAACTAAGACCATAAAAGGTAAAAAGTCAACGATCGAAATTGATAGAAGTTAAGAAGCAGCTTTCTTGGAAGGATATAAGTTATATATGTAATAGCAAGTTGTCGACAGTGAGTAAATCTATATCACAATCTTCAAAATAAATGTTGGAGAATAATAAAAAAGAAAGAAAAGACTAATTTTATTTTTTTATTTTTTTGTTTTAGTTTACCAATGACATTAACTAAAGTACATTTTGGACCAATTAACATAAGATAAACTTTATCAGAAAAGCTGACCTGTGTCAAGGTTTCCTATGATAGTGTTTTCACCAAAACTCGCCTTTTTCCAGATCGAGCTGGAAGAAATTACACCATTATCTTCAAGCCCCATAAAATCCCATGATCTTGTTGTATGTAATTGTCGTCCTTTGTTCAAGAACACCGAAACTACAGTGGGATGCTCTGCATTGAATAATTATTCACACAATTCAAAGCATATCATTATATCGAACCACTTACCCACTAAAAAAAAAACAACATTCAAATCTCTATCGAGTTTCAATTACTTACTTGCTATCTGAGAAGCTTCCTCATCTTCAAGTATGGCAGCAAAACCATTGATATGTCTGGTGTATGAGTAAAATATTGCATCTTTGGCCTTGTCTTTACTGTAAATATAAGTATATTAATTCAAGAAAGAAAAAAAATAAAGATTTTGATTAAAATTAAGCGTCGAAACTTGAAAGAAACCATTCAAATGCTCACGTGAGTGAATCGTATTACCTTCCTAAACAAGAGCCAAGAAACTCATAATGAGTGTCCCTTACTCGATTTAAATCACTGGTTGAAAGTTGAAAGGTATGTGAATGAGCTCCAAGGTACACAACATATGACTGAAAGAAGAAGAAGAAAAAAAAAAGAGAAGAAATTGTAAAAATAATTTCGAATTTAAATTTCAGAAGCAATAATGTATGCTTACCCTTTTAGCAGCAAAGGTGGGTCTATACAACAGTGTTGAAAAAAGAAGAAAAAAGAGAGGAAGATAAAGAGGAGAAGCACTAATTGCTCTCATTGCTCTCTTCTTCTGTAGTAAATGGCTTTGAAGTTTGACCCCTCTGCTATCTTCTTTCACAGAATAAAATTATGAGCACATGAACATCCCTTTTGCTGAAAACCGGTTTCTATTTAAAGACTTGTGTTGTAGTCCAACTTCAGTGGACTAAAAAAGGTAATATTGGGTTTCAATAATATTTCTAAATTCTAATCTTATAAAAAGGGTAAAAGAAACAGGCTGGAGAGGTTACACAAAGATGTTCCACTAAACACCCACATCACCCATTCTTATGAACATTTTAGATCAATAGAAAAGGGAGGTAGCTTTTGAGGCATCCAGAAGAATGAATAGATATATATAAATTTTTTTTTTGTTCATTTGGGAGCCTCAAACTTTAAAAGACTAAGACTTCGCGTCTATTAAATAACTTTTTTAATGCGCACATGATTAAGAGATAAAGTTATAAACGCCATGTCAAAAAGCATCTTCATTAAAGGCAAATTAGGTTCTACAGTATTCTACTATGTTGCCTCTACACTCATATTCATGTAAACAATCAATTCATTGCACCCCATTAATCGTAGTTAAAGTTTGCATAAAAGACACTAAAACCCACGTAAGATGTGCACATTTTTTGCATGGGACATACAAAACAACTACATATGGCTGATTTCGATGAGGTCTTGATTAGATGCATATAAACACAAGAGTTGAATTCAATCAAGCATTTTAACAAGGAGGGGTGTGGATAAAAGGAATATTTGAAAAATCGAATAAAGACAAATGGTGGTCCAAAGCATTATTATGAGTGGCGCAATGTGAAATTTAGAAAAGGAGACAATGAAGCAAGTCTTCTTCTTGCTTCTTGCTTAGGACAACATGACGTGGTAAGTTTGCTGAAATCAATATCTTTCTGCTAAAAACAAGAACTGCGAAGTATGCGTAAATTGATGGCAAAATTACAATGTTGCCAAGATTTTTTTAATGTGTGGTGATGAAAATGCAAACAATATGATATTTAAAATTGCGAAACTATTCTAATTATGTTTTAAATGATTTGATAGTCAACGAAGATCAAAATCCTAATCGTCAAAATACGCGGGCGGCAGAGGATCGTTGGACCGGCCGCCTAGTTGTATCATATGAGTACTCCTTGAGCAACTATTCACTATCGACATAATGCCCTACCATAGATATGTTATTAAGAAACATTTTATATAAAAAATTAATGAAATTTATAAAAATAGATAAAACAAAATATATGAGCATATTTAATTTCTCTTCCTCAATCCATATAATTTTGTATGCTTATAATTTTGTATGGTAAGGTTCAATAGAAAATTATTACTACCAAAGAATAAAGGAATCAATTGTGAACGTCGGAATTTAAAACGATCTATGGCTAAAATGAAAGAATGTACACTTATACATTGGACGTATATACATTGGATCATACCATAACATTCACTTCTTTACCAAAACGCTCACATAATTTTTTTAAGCTATATTTTTTATCGAAAAAAAAAAAAATCAAATATATCGTTGTTCACGATTTTCTGTCCGCTTACCATAGAGATCCATATTAAAATATAAAAAACAATTTTTTTTTTGAAAAAAAAAATTCACTTCGTTTTGTTGTTTTTTTCAATATTTAAGTTTATTTTTATTAAAAAAAAAACTAACTATACCAAAATTTTCATTGGTTTGTTATCTATTAATAAACATCATCAACGATTAAAAAAAACTCGATTACTTTAAATTTATACTATAAATATTTCAATTATAATAATCACAATGTGAATATGTCTAACTATTATTCACATTTTGAATCTGCGTATATTCACATTGACTTACAATGTGAATCTGTATTGAAATTTTGTTTTTTTACATCAATATAAATGTATGTTTAAAAAGTATCAAAAAATATGAATTCTAATATATTTATTATTATTTTTTTGATAAAATATAGGCCTTAACTTTTCAAAAAACAAAGAAATGAAGTTAGTTTTTTTGAAAAAAAATCTTTTTTTGTATATCAATATGGATCTTTAAGGAAAAATAATGAAAAATCATAAACAATGGTATATTCGGGTCTTTTTCCATAAAAAAACAAGGCCTAAAAAATTAAACGAAAAAACAGAAATGAGTTTTGTTATAATATGGTACATGTGCGTCCATTGTAAAAGTATACAACCTTTCATTTTCTCGTTGATCACATTAAATTTCAACGCTTTAGATTGGTTCATTGGTCCCTTAATTATCAATGGTTCTCTATTGAACTATATATATATATATATATATATATATATATATATATATATATATATATATATATATATATATATATATATATATATATATATATATATATATATATAAAAGAGGTTAATAAAAACATGTTAATTTTATGAAACATGGGAACAAAATCCTAACTAAGATTAAAAAAATTAAAAATGAAAATCTAAAGTCTAAAATTTCTTTTTTATATATTATTTTTGTCATTTAATTTATTCAAAAATAAAATAAAATAAAAATAAATAAAAAACAAAAAAATAAAAACACTACTATTTTTTTAAATAAATGTGAAATATTGTAAAAAAATATTACACTACGAATATTCAAATAAAACTATTAGAATTTCAAATATTCTAATATTCTACTAAAATTATTTGAATTGTTACAATATTTGAATATTCTATTAAAACTGTTTGAATATTCATATTCTAATATTCAAGTAGAATATTTGAATATTCTAACAGTTTTGGTTTAATATTCTATAACAATATTTCATGTATATTTAACAAAATAATAACTTTTAATTTCGATTAATTAAATAACGAAAATAATATTCAAATAGAATTCAAAGTTTTCATTTATTTTACATTTTAGAAATACCTTTTTTGATCTTCAAGATGAGTGGTTAGGATCGCGTCCTAATATCTCACAAAATTAACATGGTCTCATATATATATATATATATATATATATATATATATATACACACACACACACACACACACACACACACACACACACACACACATACACATATTAGCAACCCAAAAACAATGATAAAAAATTTTCATTTTAAAATCGATAGTTTCAATCATCAAATAGTTCCAAATCAATCACAATGTACAATATCGAAAACATCAGAGTAAAAGTATCCAAAAAGTACGGAAATCATGAGAGGGGGGGATGTTGTGCCATCACGTCATGTCCTTCCCTTTTGAACCAGATGTACCTAAAACCATAAACAAATCTATAAGCACAAGGCTTAGTGAGTTCCCCAAAGTACCAAATGCCAAACAAACAACTGGGCCTAGCCATACATTGTATTTTAGCCCAATACAAAAATATAGGCCCAACCGTGGGCCGTTGGCGTATTTTAACCAAATATACAAATATGGACCCAACCATGGGGTTTCTTCCAAACCATCTTATATTCATTAGCCTAACCCTGGGGTCTATTTCAATCCAAATTATATAAACGTATAAGAGTCACACAATAACTAGCATACAATATAACATAGTGGTCCGACATTGGTGCATTTGACCCACAAGCACAGTGAGAAGACTTACCACTAACAGAAGATAACTAAATCGCACACTCGAACTGCTGTTAACATAACTCCTCATATTAAACATAACCTTATAAAAAACCTAATTAAAAATCTGGGTTTAACAAAAGAATAATGGTCCATAACATAATTTAAACTACCAAGGGAAAAAGACCATTTTGCCCTTCCTCGTATGGCCCAACAACCAAGCCCGAAATTCCCTAGTGACCTAAGTCCTGAAATGGCCCAAAAAGATTTCCTAAGCATATGCCCGGTGTACAACTTGTACGCTCAGCGTATAACTCGATCTCGGAAGGCTTACGAGTTCGTAACCAAATACGCCCAACGTACTAAAGGTTACACCCAACATACTCAACAGGCCTCCAAAACTCTATTAAGGTCTTAATACCTTAAGACTTGATGTCCAAACATCAGATCTGAAAATACTCTAGAATATTGAAGTTGCAAACTTTATGCCTGTGTATGGCTACACTGAGCCCAAAATCCAAACCTAAGTCTTATTCATCACCAAAATGCTAAATAGATCCGTTATGCATGATTAGTAAACACCAAGATCCAAATTTTATGAACCACAATGCTCTTAAATGAAAGGAAATACTCATGATTAGGTCTAGAGTTGCTCAAACTCTCAAGATCTAAGGCTAGGGGACCAAAAATGAACAAATCTTACTATAAATAGATCTAAAGAAATATGCATCATCGTTGGAGCTTTATACCTCAAGAAGATGCACAAGGGTGAGTAATATTTAGATTTAAAGGCTTGAGTGCAACACCACAACTCCAAGGGTCTTCCTTCACTACCAAGAACACCAAAATTACACTATAAAGCTTCAAAACTCACATACACAATTAGGGTTTCGAAATGGAGGCTAAGAGAGGTGGATGTTGGAGTTAAGAAAGGTTTTGATGTCATAATGTTCTTTAAATAGGATCCAAACCTAAAAAATTAGGGTTTTCCGCCTGAAGTAGTATGCCCAACATACACAAGGGATCTGTGATCATCAATTAAACGCCTACGCTCAGCATACCTATCTCGTATGCCCAACGTTGGGACAAAATTTGCACAATTTTTAAGGAAATGAGTCACAAGTGAAAAAACCTGGAGCATTGGTGTTATATATATATATGTGTATATATATATATATATATATATATATATATATATATATATATATATATATATATATATATATATATATATATATATATATATATATATATAACGACGAAAAAACACTATTTTTCTGAATGTTCGATTTTACCACCAATTATTAATAAGTTCCAAAAAACCATCAATTTTTGGTAAAATGCTTAAACATGTCCACTGTTACCTGTTAGAACCAATATTCATTACGAAAAATACTATGTTTTTTTTTTAAGTTCGGCTTAACCACCATTTTATGGTTGGTGTTTTTTTAGCACAAAATAAACATTGGTGGTTTGTTTAGCACAAATGCAGGCCATAGTGGCCGCGATAGAATTTTTATCTTAAAATGAATGGTTTTTATAGAACAAATGAAAATTAGGTGTGTAACGTCCCAAAAATAAGACATAAGAAGTTTATTTTTTAATTTAAATAAAACGATACTTCAAAAAAATTTCATACAACCCAAATAGACAAAGTATGGCGCTACATCATATCATAGTAGAGTAAATCTTAAAATGCGAAAAAGGTGGTATGTACCATGCAATCATCCTGGGCTCTTCCCTTTAGATCCTGAAGTACCTGAAACATAAACTGAAAATCGTTACCACAAATCTTAGTGAATTCCTCAAAATACCACATACCATATATAGATAAATACATACTGGGCCCCTGCCCCACATCCGGCCTTGACCGACATCGAGTCCCAGTCGGCCTCGGGCTCTGCTCGGGTTACAGAACTTTCATTCACCAAGGCTCGCTTGACATCAGGCACCGCACGATACACATATAAACATATAAAAATATAATCATGCTAACACATATGATAAATCACAAAGCCAATGGCATACAATACAGACATCAAGCCTCGCCCGTCATCGAGCCACGCTTGGTATACATACCAGCACATAACACATGCATGAGTCACGCAGGCATCTAGGATCCTAGCATAATAATCATGGGTCAGCATTAGTGCCTTCGGCCAGATAAACCCAGTGAGGAAGCTCACCTCAGACTGTTAAATCTCATAGATAAGTCTCTGGCTGCTGGCCCGCTAAAATCCCCGATCTATCAATCAATTAATAACATCCAATTAATAATTGGATCCGACTCACATTAAGAGTCCAAACTAGGGTAAATGAAATTTTTACACTTTACCTAACTTGGACCAAGGACAAGTCCTAATGCAACTGTCCAAAAGGCCCAAAAATAGACCTAATGGCCCAACAAGGCCCTAATCACCTAGAGTCCAAACATGGCCTAAATCCGAGAAGCCT